CTTTTATACACCAAATTATCGTCAATTTTCAAATCGGGTAACTTAAGTTGATTAAGCCTTATGTGTTCTATTAGATCCATGTATTCGTTCGATTTAAACTCTGTAGAAGTAAGGTCGACTATGGGTCCGTTGCCGTTCAGCTCTCTTACCTCGGGCTCATCTTGGCGTGACAACGCGTCGGCCACTACGTTTTCGGACCCTTTACGATGTGATATTTGAAAATTAAATCCCTGTAATTTTATAGCCCAGCGGGCCAAGCGACCTGACAAATCTTTTTGCCTCATAAGCCATTGTAGGGACGCATGGTCCGTTATAACTTGGAAATCCTGTCCTTCTACGTAAGCTCTAAACTTCTTTATTCCTTTAATCACTGCCAAGCACTCGAGTTCAGTGACCGAATAGTTTCGTTGCGCCTTGGAAAGTTTCTCGGACATAAACGCTATAGGTAACTCTATCTCTTCCTCGTTTAATTGAGCTAGTACGCAGCCCAAACCAAAGGTGCTTGCGTCACATATTAACAAAAAGGGTTTCTTAAAATCGGGGGTGGCTAGGATTGGAGCAGATGTTAAGCAGGATTTGAGTTTATTGAAAGCTTCTTCAGCTGATGCGTTCCACTTAAGTGGTTGATGCTTTTTTAGTAGTTCCGTTAAGGGGTAGCTGACGGTGGCATAGTTATCGACAAAGCGTCTGTACCATCCAGCAAGTCCTAGAAATCTCCTTATCTGTTTCACGGTTTTTGGGATCGGGAACTCCATTATGGATTTTATTTTCCCCGGATCTGTCTTTAACTGACCATCACCTATTATGAACCCCAGATATTTAATCTCCCGTATACAAAAGTTTGACTTGGCTATATTAATCGTGAGATTTGCCTTACGCAAATGCATCGCTACCTCTTGTAACAGCACCAAGTGTGAATCAAAGTCATCTGAGAGCACCAGTAAATCGTCCAAATAGACAAAAACCCGATTCCTGAGGTGTGCAGGTATCACCTGATCCATAAGTCGGCACAACGTCTGAGCGGCATTAGTTAAGCCAAACGGCATTACCTTATACTGGTAAAGCGGCCTATTGGGAATGGTAAAAGCTGTATAGTGCCGAGATTTTTCTTCCAAAGGAATCTGCCAGTATGCGTGTTTCATGTCAAGTCCCGTTATGTATTTGGCTGGTGGTAATCTACTAAGAATGCCATCAATATGTGGTAAAGGGTAGGCATCTTTGCGAGTGATCTTATTAATTTCTCGAGAATCTAAACATAATCGATTTTTCGTACCTTTCTTAACTAAAACGCAATTGCTACTCCAGGAGCTATTCGATTCCTCGATCACGTCTAATGCCAGCATTTTCTCCACTTCGTCAAACATTAACTTTTCCTTCGCGGGTGAAATCGGCCAATGGCGTTGTTTGACTGGTCTATCGGGTACCATTTCGATCGTGTGTTGGATTGCTTTCGTACGTCCTAATCCTTCCCTTTCAAACGAAGGAAACGAATGGATCACGGATTCTAGTCTAACCTTTTGGTCTTTGCTTAGATCGTGTACTGGCGGTGATTCCGAAGCCCTGGTTTCATTTCCTACGTCTAATTCTTGTACCACAGATCTATCCGTTAAAAGTCTTGCTACAAGACCGAATTCTATCCAGAAATCAATCCCTAAATACACATTTTGTTTCAAGGCGGGTATTATGAAAAATTCTATCTCCTTAGTATGATCGCGAAAAGTTATGGGAACTGTAATTTTCGCTACTACTTTACAAGATTCATTATTGGCCGTTCGAATATTTCCGGAGCATTTCTTTGCCTTGGCGTGTTGCGCGAACGACTTAGCGGCTTCACTTCCAAGACAGCTTATCGTCGCCCCCGAATCTAGCAAGGCCATGAAGTTTTGTTCTTCTATGCTTAGTTCTATAAATAATCTGTTATCGGAGCTCAAAAGGACCGATTAGACAAGTCTTTTTCGCACCTTCTTTACCTTGGTCCAGAATTGCCTTAATCGTATGGTCGAACGTTTTGGTTGATACTTTAATTCTAGCTTATCTGAGCGGGAACTTTCACCATCTATATCTATCTCCTCCGTCTGGGTTTGTGCCTCTACAAAGGACCTATTTGATCGAATTTTTGTACAATCCGGGTTGGAGGTGTTTTCTTGGAAAGTTTTGCTCTTTCATTCTGTCATCATTGCCGGATGCGTCAGAATGGTGTTGGTTTGCGCATCCCGCTTGCGGTTTTCCGATGGGTTACATTTTTCGCACTTTGGCTTAAAAGTATTTTTCGCCCCGCAGCCATAACAGAAGACTCGGCGTTCTGCTACGCAATCTTCAAACCGATGACCTGTTTTGTCGCAATTCCAGCAAACAAACCGCTTGCGGCGTAGCTCGGAGATACTCTCTTCTTCGAGTTCTTCTTCCTCACTCTGAATTTCTGATACGTGGGGTCGGATGATATTTGGGGAATTTTAACTGCATAATCGGATGATCTTAGGAACTTTAACTGCATAATCGGATGATCTTGGGAACTTTAACTGCATAATCGGATGATCTTTCGCCCATTTGAGCGAACTTTTGGTCAAGCTTTTAATCTATGCTCTCCCTACGCTACGCTACTCTCTTGGGTCAAGGTAAACGTGACGTCTTTCGCTTAAATGCGTGCGCTGCGCGCCGACTCTCTTTAGAAAGCTTTTCGGAAAGCTTGCAGCTTACGATCCACTTTCGGAGTTACTATGGCTCTGCACTTTTAAGCATTACCAAAAGAAAACTATGCTTATCCGTGATGTTCTATACTCGTTCCCTAAATTCGGCCACTACACCTAAAACATTATGCGAGTGTGTGTCAGTATGTGATAGGAGAGAGTAGAACGAACCCCGAAAATCCGGCGAGCTTAGTCAGAGCATAGCTAGAGGTGCACACGAAATCTCTTCATACTAGTATGGGTAAACGACAGCTATCCCACACCTGCACGCTACACTGGTAGCTGGGAGAGGAAGGCAGATGAGTCACCGACAGATATGCATACATATGTGTATGAATGTAAGCGCTGGATCGGAAGCGAATAAAATTGGTTTCGCTGCAGGTGAATTCTTTTTATTTCACTGTGGCACAACTGATTGCACAGACAACGGAACTATAAGCACGACCGTTGTATTGGGTATGTAGATGTGGGTATATACGAGCACTCGAAGAAGCGGAGAGCGCCCGGAATTGCCAAGCATATGGCGCCGTCGATAGAACGGTGAAAGGAAAGACGCGGCACGTATATATATGTATATACATATGTCCAGCCGAATGGGACCAGGTGAGGAGCCACTGGAGATGGGCAGGCGAATATCCGGCTCGAAGGACCAATGTTTGTAGTGGGGCGGACGAAGCTCAAGTCTCCATCGACGATATGGATAATAAAGTGAAACCTCCTGTAGCCTTCGCAAGAAATGAAATGACGTGGTGCTTTGTGGTAAATTTGTAGTATTTATTTCGGGGGTCACGCGGTAGATCGTGCGTTTGAAACGGGGGTTGAAACGTCACTAAGCTAGGCCTTATGATCTATGCTCTGTGATGGCGTGAGCGCCGGGTGGACGTGGGTCGTAAAATCTCCCGAGCGCCCCTCCGAGCGCGCAAGAGCGAGTTGGGACCGGAGCGCACGAAGTTGGCACAGTGCGCGGCACTCATCTGCTGCTGGCCTGAACAAGTATGATGAGAATGATAATGGCACGTTGTGCTGATCTGTTGGGGAAACGCTTAACTTAAATGAAATTCTATCCCTGGCATAAGATAAATTAAACTTCTACCCCTTTATGACGACGTCAGCAACAGCATTAAATGTGCGGTCAGGGGCCCACCGCATGCCTGGTACCTGTGACGGCAAAATTCGGTAGTTCGGGACATCTATTTACTGGTGAGATCGGAGTGGACGGGACAGCTAGTTAGCTTGTGGACGGACACGGACGCTAATAAGATTTCTGGTGAGGTGCTCTCTCAGATGATAAATACAATTGGCATAAAAGGCAGCAGTCGTTGCCCTTGAAGTGGCAAAACTTGGAGTGGCCGGAGGTAGTTTTTCAGCCACGAGTGGCTGAGGGACAGTTGGCACTTGAAGATTCCTTGGAGTTACCCAACGGTCAGCTCCTTTAAGACCATCCGAAAATGTCCTTCTTAACGATACGGCATACCTCAAAACTGTTATGAAAACTATTACATATCGCGGTGGCATCTCCCACGAGGATATCGCAGAACCAACAAGAGACACTCGACTGATCAATCCTTCTTGGAAATTTTTTTTGCCACAGACCGCAGAAAACTTTATTGTAACCGTTTTATTTAAAAAAAAAAAACAACAAAAAATTTCAAGACAAAAAGCTATGAGACCAATGTCCCGGACAAATGCTTAAAGCGTAACTAGTAAAATAGGATACGAGAGCGGTAACAGCGTGAGTAAATAAAACAGATCCCTACTGCTTAGAAAGTTTAGTGGTGGAGAGACGAAGAACAGTTAATTAAATTAGCCGACACACGAAATAAAATATTAAATTATGTTTCGGAGTATAGTTTAAGATTGTAGGCTGATTAGAGAGTTATTTAAAAGATTATTTTGTCAAAACACCGGCTATTCATGCAAAATAAAAGACAACGAGGAGCGCAAAAAAAACACTCATCTGGTCACTACGAAAGTAAACGAACTAAAGGAAAGGAATTAAGATAAATAAAGATAAAGATAAAGATAAATAATGCCGTTTAAGTTAGTTTCTGTGAGAAATATGTTTCCGTTTTGATAAAAAATGATCACCAGTTTTTTTGTGTTTAAAAATTAAATCGGGAATTCTTCGCGATATTTTAAGCTGCAGCCCAAAAACTGTAGCAAAACCAACCACAAATTTGTTTATGTTCTATTTTAATGTTCCTATTGCTTGTTTCCCTCTAAGTAATTTAAATTCTGCCGATGTGGCAACCATTCGTTATCAACACTTAACTGGAGAAGGTCGCGTATAAATTCTCGACAGCTGAGTTACAATTAAATATTTGTAAAGGTGTGATGATTTTTTGAAGTTGGATGTTCTTAGTTGTAACATAATTGCACATTCACAGGTTTTTTGAGATTCAAGCTTTCGTATATAAGTTGTACACTGTAAATTACGTTGCATTAACAATAACTGTGCGTTACTTATTGATTTTAGGCCACATTTTGTCATCGTTGGATATACATATATGTAGAACAAACGGCGAACATGCACTCTCAAGGACAGGGCCCACAATCGCAGTCGTCGGCACATTCCCTATTGCAACAGCAATCAATTGTAACAATCAACAGTGCAGTTGGGAAACAAAATGAACATCAGCAATCCCTATCATCTGTCGGTAAGAATACGGAAAACACAGCTAACACATTAAATGTGTATGTAAACATATGGGCGGTGTGCATAACATACATTCGAATTTGCAAATATAATGATTTTGTTCAGGCATACTTGAATGTATACAGAATAGAATAGAAAATATAAAAAAAATATAAATTAAATAATTATTTAATTTATACTTTCATTTGCTACAAAATCTTATATTTTATAATCCAGCTAACCAGAGGTTGAATCGTTTTATACCAATGGCTACCTAAATCACAAATTTCGTCCATAGTACATATGTAGTAGGTATGTGAATTTGAGACAAAAAAAAGATTGCAGTTTCATACAGAAAGCGGCAAAACTGGGACTTGTTTGCAATGTATTATATTGACTGCCTGTTAATGTTACATAGTCAAGAAAATACATATGTATGTAGAAATGAATGTACATCATAGCTCGCAAACGACGGTCAACACTTTTTTCCTTTGCTGTCTCGTCACTGACAAAACCGAAAAAGACCACGAAGACACGGTCTCTCACTGAGCAGAACACTTTTTGTCTCTTCGCTTGTGTTATGTGTTTCGGGTTTTCGGGTGAGCCCGACACACGATCGTGTCTCACAATAACAACTTAGAGAGATACTTTGGTCAAGCGCTCACAGCAAAAGTGTCTTTAGTTGAGCAGAACCAAAAAAGTGTCTGAGTAAAGTGTTTTTAGTTTTTTTCGTGTATATGTTTAATTATTCATGTTTTCCGCATCTTTTGGGCTATTGTATTGTAATATGTACAGTCAGTCACGAAAGTATTCGTCTCTAGGTATCCTCTATGTTCCAGCTCGTTTTTGGTGGTGAGTTGTTCGAACGAAGTGTTTCGACAATGAAAAGTGCCATTTCTCGACTAAAAGCTCGGAATTCCTTGGAAAGCCCAAAAATATTGACAGACAGAGAAGAGCGAAAAATTCTGGAAGAGAATAGGAAAAACCCACATTTATCGGCTCCGAAAATAAATGGTGCCTTGTCATCATCATTGGGAACCAATGTTTCTAACGAAACCGTCCGCAGGGTCCTCAGAAGCAATGATTTCCATGGAAGATGTCCCTGAAAAAAACCATTGCTGTCTGCTGTAAATGTGTCGGAGCGTCTAAACTTCGCTAAAACGCACGAAACCAAAGACTTTTTATACTGGGAACGCGTCATATTTAGTGATGAAAGTAAATTTAACATATTTGGTTCTGACGGCGAGGGAAAAGTCTGGCGTAAGCCTTGTGGAGCGCTGAAAAAAAAAAAACATCAAACCAACGGATAAGCATGGCGGAGGATCTGTGCTAGTTTGGGGATGCATGTCGGCTCGAGGCGTTGGCAACTTAATATTTATTGAGGGAATAATGAATGCACAGATGCTAAAATGGGTATTCCAAAAGAGGATTTCGTTTTTCAGCAAGACAACGACCCAAAACATACTGCCTGGAACGTAAAAATGTGGCTGTTGTACAATGTAAACAGCTTCATACTCCGCCACAAAGTCCAGATGTGAACCCCATTGAGAATTTGTGGGCCCACCTGAAGCTGAAAGTCCAGGAGCATAAGATTTCTTCCAAAAAGGAGCTCAAGAAGGTGTTGCTAGAGGAATGGTCCCAAATTTCGGAGGAGAGATGCCACAAGCTGATGGAATCGATGCCAAAACGTTTGAAAGCCATAGAAGATAATAACGGCTTCCATACAAAGTACTAGGAATAGTTTTCGTATCTAGATTTAAGAGCAAAACAACAAGAGACGACTACTTTTGTGATATGAAATTTGGTTGATTTTTTTGTTTTTTTATGAAAGTAATATGAAATTATTAAGATTTGAATAAAATTATGTTCAATTATGTTAGATAAATATTTAATTTAGCCCATCCTATGAAAAAACGATTAAATTCATTGTAAAATAACCACCAAAAACGAGCTGGAATATAGAGGATACCTAGAGACGAATACTTCCGTGACTTACTGTATATTTCTTTGCAAAATTGGCAAACGAACATTTTCGTTTTGCTTTTCACGATTAATTTTAAGCTCCAATAGTCAAACCGTATAGAATTCACAAAAATTGATAGTTGCCATAAGCTTCTCACGTACAAGCACGCATACATACGCAAAAGACACTTTGTTCGTTTGCTCGCGGCAAGATGCTCAGTAAAGAACAGGAACAAAAGAGAAGTGAAAAAATCGGTCTTTGCTTGAGCGAAGAGCGAGTTGAGCAAAAACAGATTTGATCGGGTCTTTTCAGTCCATTTTCTCAATGTGTCCGTCAATGAGAGGTCAACAGAAAGTGTCAACAGTTATTTGCGAGCTATGATGTACATACATACATGTGTTTTTGGTCTGAAGATTTTTTCAACTTATGGGTCTAAACAACAATACTCTATTAGGATATAATAACACAGTTATACGGGCTATTATCTAAGCTGTCTAATCAAATTTAATATTTATTATTAACATAAATGAACGAACAATTTAAAAGTTGGAGTAAAGCTTAAGCGCCTTAACAAATAGCTCTGCAGTAAATTTGGCCTAACTGACTTCGTCTGTTCGTCAATGGTTTTGGGCGGCTGAGTTGTTCCTGAATCTTAAAAAAACTACTCAGTCTTTGGTACTGTAGTTTTTGATTCCACACCTAATTTGTCACGACAAACATAAATATTTTTTTTTGTACTAAAAGCGAAACTAGTTGAGAACTTAGAACTCAGAAAAAAACAAGTGTTTGGCTCAAGACGGTTTTGTTCGTCAAATGGCTGTGATTAACTATGAAATGAAATGAAAATAAAGTGATTACAAAATTTAAAATGTTAAATTATGCTGATGCAGATAAATTAGAAAAATCTTTCCAAAACTATACAAATTTCTTCGGAATTCGACTTATTAAGATTATCAGGTAGGCGCCGGGCTGCAATTACTTTGCGGATTACATTTTCAACCAAAACGTTTCGTTTTAAGGTGCTTCCGTTTTCACAAATTTTCGGCATCGATATCTTTCCGTTTCTCATCGATTCTGGCTAACAAAAACAGCTAACCTGGCTGCTTAGAACATATGCAGCGTGATAAAAACGCCTTTATTTTTGCAATTGCTTGTTTTAAGGCAAAACGACGGAAGATAGTTATCCGTTTAAAAAGATCAAGACATCTTAGAAGCAACAACTGTGTATTTAACATATCTGACGAGCTGCGAGTAACAGAATGCATATTGAAAATTAAATTTCTAATAAAAAATTTATTTTTTCCCCCAAATTTTGTATTAAATGTGATAAGAAATAGCTGTCGTTACCTCGCTGTTATGATAACGTGCCAACGTTCCGATAACCAAATCGGACTGCGTCAGCTGTTCTCACGTAAACAAAAAGTTGTTGTTGCCCTGACCAATTATTCCCGACCCAAAATTAAGGTTGCGTTGATTAATAAAAACTATTCATATCGATGAAACAAGCAAATTGGCACTGATAATGATTTTAAATTTATGTTAATGCAGTCATCTATTTTTTTCCCTCTGCAATTAAGATTATTTTTGTTGTATAAAAAGCCATTTACTTTTCATTTCGTTGCGGAAAATTTTTTCGTTTTGAAAACGAAGAAATCTTTCAGAATGTGAAAACGGGAGCACCAATTTATGTGATTCAAGATAAAGACTAAAATTGAGATCAAGATGGCAAAGAAGAAGACGATTATAGCAGCATGTAACCAATGATATTGTGAAACGCCTTGGGCGTAGCGCACGGGTGGCGTTCTCTTAGTTACAGTATATAATTATGTATTTATTCCCCATAATTTCTAAGATGGGATAATTTAATGTGTTATTTTTTAGGTTTACTGGAGTTGGCTCATAGAGAATACCAAGCTGTGGATTATGAAAGTGCAGAAAAACATTGCATGCAATTATGGCGTCAAGATAGTACAAACACTGGAGTGTTGTTATTGTTGTCATCAATTCATTTTCAGTGCAGAAGGCTTGATAAGTCTGCGCAATTTTCTACTTTGGCAATAAAACAAAATCCTGTACTGGCTGAAGCTTATAGGTAAGTGATCAGATAAAATCTTACAGATGTCGTATGAAACTAGTTTCAATTAATTTAAATTATTATAATTATGAATTATATATTATGATTTTAGCCCGATTTTATAATGCCAAGTAGCGCCAATAGGGGCAGCCCGTGTTGACCATGCGGCCGATGACAGAGTGGTAGTGGGTCTACCCAACATCTGAGAGGTGATGTCTACCAATGTTATTCGGAGGTAATTTGTCTCTGGCACTGGCACACTTGTCAGTACCCTTGAAGCCCGAGGTGTCTGTGGGACCCGAGACACACGTGAGTGGGACTCGGTTTGGTTCAGCTCTTCCACTGTCTCAGAGATGAGTGTACTTGTGGTTTTACGGGAAATAAGGGATTTAATAGAAGTCGAATGTCAGGCTTAAAATTATAGTTTCCTCGTAGAGCCGCGTGGCACTTGTCAGATCTACCATGGGATCGAGAGCTACCTGCTTTGTAGATTTCATGAGACCGAGTCATGCTGCTCGCTGGACTTTATGACGATTTGGTATATTGGTGAAATTGTGTGTATGCCGTCTCTCACCTAACTATTAGAATGACACCTTATATCAGAATGCATCCCACAAAAGTGGATGATGGCGATTGTAGTCACTTCCGTCCGAAGCTCTTTCTATAAATGTAGAATGCCCTCATTGCCTTATTCTTCCATTCATCGTTTTTATTTTCCAGAAGAGATTGGAGTTCAGATTTAACCATGTTTGAAATCGAATCGTTCCACTGGTAATTTGAATCTTGTATTTTCTTGAGAACAAAACAAGTGCGGGACTTTGACGATTCACTCCAAATATGTTGTGACGTTCCCATCTTGTTTTCTTGACCTTGTTTTCTAGGATGGGGGACTATAACTACTCCGCGTGGTGAACCGTTACCGCATTTATCGTTCTGCAACTGAGAACATTATCCACCCATCGGGAAATGGCAGGGTGTTTTTAGATTTTTTCCAGTGCATCGTATCGACTCAATCCTCAGTCTCTTTCTTTGGTGAAAAAAAGCAATACTTAATGCTAACTTATGGCGAGTGTCTTTTCAATACGCCCAACGACTTCCTGTAGTGTAGTCTCAACTGATCTACCCCTAGGCCTCGCACGCTAGTCGTCAGCGGATCGAAAAAGGTATAAAAGCTCGATCGGGCATTTTTGTTTTTATCACCTGAAAGTGTGACTCATATCTACTATGGCGGCTATATGATATCTTATAGTGGTCCGAAATGTTGTGGGTTGAGTACATAATTGTAATGTCCTTTATAACTAACAAGATATTTTCAGAAAAACTTTTTATGACTAGCACCTAGCAAATTATTTGCCGCAATATTGTAAGTTATTTCTTTTTCTCCAAACGATGTCATTTGGAAGCATTAATTGAATGCACGAATGATCTTCAGGAACAGGTTTGAATATGAATCCGTGCCGACGAGCAAGAAGTTTAATTATTCTGGTGGCCTCAAAATTTGTATGTTGAAGCTTTTTTTTAATTTGAGCGCATGGCAATGGGGAATTCTTTACCAATAGCATCAAAAAGCTTATTCGGACGAACGAAATATCGAGTCGTACTCGATGGCTTTATCTCCTGTTCTTCTTGTGTCTCTTGTGATTGGGAGTTACGTAATTGCGACATGCCCACACGCTCATTTTCTATATCTTATTGGATTCTTTCTTGTATAGTATTTTACAGTAAAGAACACACACATAAATAGATAGCATACTTGATTATAATTACATATTGTGTGGGATACTTTGAGATTGAAAAATTAGAAGAGTTTTTCTAATCAATTACCGAAAACTTTGGGTGGCTGTAATTTAAATTATTTATTTGGCGGGGCGAAAAACTTGATACGCTCGATCTGATTCAAGGTTGGCGAACAACTATATTTTCTTCACAATTCAAATCTCTTACTCTAGCTATCCTACGGTGGCAAAGCGGGGTGAATTCGCCAAGAGCGAGAGAGCGAGCTTTTATTGCGCTCCCGCTTTGCCCTAGCCTAACTTACACTAGACTCCATAATTCAGATCAATAACTAATAATTGTGGCCCCGTTGAACGCCTGCATCGGCTTCAACACATTGGGAGCGGCGCTAATTTGTGTATGGGCCGCCGAAAAACCGCTCCAGTGCTAGTCCTTATTTCGACGACCCTGACCATGCCGTCCTCTCCTGCGTGCGTGGCGATGACCCTCCCCACGAGCCACTCCTGAGGCGGCAGATTGTCCTCGGCCACGATGACGAGGTCTCCTTCCTCGAGGTTCGGTTGCTGCTGGTGCCATTTGCCCCGAATTTGCAGCCCCAGGACATATTCGCGGGACCATCGCTGCCAAAACGCTTGCCTGACTGACGAGACAACTCGCCATCGCCGCAAGCAACTGAGACTCTCCTGGTCCGGAGTCCGCAGTGCTGGGGGGGCGATGAGCGACCCGCCTGTCAGCAGGTGCCCGGGTGTTAGGGCCTCGCCGTCGCTTGGATCTTGGCTGATGGCTCCCAGCGGCCTCGAGTTCATTATGGCCTCGATGCCGACGAGGACTGTGGTGAGTTCTTCGGCGGTTAGGAGCGCGCTGCCTACCGCCCGTAGGAGTAGGCTCTTAGCAGTTTTTACACCTGCCTCCCATAGCCCTCCCATGTGAGGAGCTCGCGGCGGTATGAACGCAAATTCGCATCCGTTCTTTGACGCGAAGTCGCGAATTGCGTCTCCTTGCTCCTTGAGCCTGATCCGCAGAGCGCTGAGATGGCGGCTCGCTCCGACGAAGTTCGTCCCGTTGTCGCAATGAACGACTTGGGGATATCCTCGGCGCCCGACGAACCTTTGAAAAGCCAACAAAAAACAATCAGTGGTTAGATCGGAAACTATTTCTAGGTGAACCGCCTTGGACGCAAAACAAACAAAAAGCGCAATGTATGACTTGTATGGGGGCCTTCCGCGAATTTTCAATGTCGTGTGCACTGGTCCACAAAAATCAACGCCGCAAATGGAAAATGGGCGGAGAGCACGGAGTCGATCTGCGGGTAAATTCCCCATGAGTTACGTCAGCAATCGAGGCTTGCATTTAAAACAGCGCATACACGATCGAACTGTCTGACGGCAGACCTCCTGAGCGTTCACTATCCACACGCTCTGTCGAAGGATGCTCACAAGTGCTCGTGAGCCGACATGAAAATTCGAATGGTGCAGATGACGAATATAGCTTCGCACGAATTGCGAGCTCTTAGTCAAAAGCAGAGGAAACTTGGCATCGTATGATATAGGAGCTTTGACTAGTCGCCCCCCACTCGCAACAACGAAAAGTTACACCAAGTCCCTGTGTCTTCATGGATGAATGGGTTCAACCGCTGAAGACTAGGACCAATTGTAGATCCTTTCCTAACCTTTTCGATTTCTCCTTGATACTCGTGATGCTGGACGATATCGACAATTTTATAAAAGGCTTCATTGTATTCGGTCGGTGAGATAGTTTTTTCGAATTTTAGGCTTGGGTCTTTACATTTTCTTATAAAGAGGAACACATACACGAACACTCTAAGCAGTTTGAGGTGTGACGAGAATCCCTCGATGACATCTAACAGCTCCGAACTTCTCACAGCCACGGTCAGCCCGACCGCAGTCTTCCTCTTTTCCAGCTGAAGATCATCGGAGTGTTCGAAATGAGCGTTCTTGGGCCAGTTTTCTTCTTCCTCTTTCAGAAATGATTGTCCTTCGAACCAAATTGACTGAACGATTTCGTCGACGTCACAACCTCTTGAGACAATATCTGCTGGGTTGTTTCGTGGGTACATGCCGCCACGTAGCATCATCTGACCACTCTTGAATCTCAGCCACTCTATTTGAAACGAAAGTCGACAACGACGATGGATGAGACCGGATCCAATGGAGAGTTACCTCTGAATCCGACCAATAAACGACTCGTTCAATGGGCACGTTTAATAGGGGCTTGATTCTGTGACAGAGATCTGCGAGAAGGTGAGCGGCACATAACTCAAGCCTTGGGAGCGTTTTGGTCTTGACGCGGCGCTACTTTGGATTTCGAAGTCAACAATGATACTTTTAAACCTTCTGCAGTTCTGCTACGTATATAGACGCACGCTCCATACGCTCTCATGGAGGCGTCAGCAAAGGCATGTATTTGAACCGGTGACATCGGATCGGAATACACAAACCGAGATATGGATATGTCTTCCAATTGAGATAGTGTATTTTTCAACTTATTCCACGCTGTTTCCAAATGCAGCGGGATCGACTCATCCCAATCTAGTTTGTTAAGCCAAAGCTCCTGCAATAGGATCTTGCCTTTTATAACGATAGAACTTAATAAACCTAGGGGGTCAAACAACTTTGATGTCACCGATAGTATGTTCCGTTTTGTCGCTCGGAGACCCATAACTGAATTGTCAATTTTGAACTTAAAGGCATCGTCAGTAGGTAACCATGAGATTCCTAACGCCTTTGTCGACTCTGAATCCGAGATTGTTATGGGTTTGGCTGTGCTCTCAGATGCGGTGATCTCGGGTGAGTTTGAAAACCACTTAGTCAACTCAAACCCTGCGGTCTGAAGAACCTGAGACACTTCGGACTTAATTGCCCTTAGCTCCTCTACGCATGCAGCACCAGTCAACAAGTCATCGACGTAAAAGTCGGACCCAATAACGTTAGCAGCTCTAGGGAATGAGAGCTTCGCAGACTCACTCAACCTTTTCAAACACCGGATAGCTAAGAATGGGGCTGGTCCAGTCCCATAGGTTACAGTGTTGAGCTTGTATAATCTCAAGGATTCAGAAGGGTCTCTTCTCCACACTATGAGCTGAAACTGCCGATCCGCTTCGTTCACCATCACTTGGCGATACATCTTTTTAACATCAGCAGTCAGGGCAAACCTGTGCAGACGGAAACGGAGCAGTGTCGAGTATAATTCCTCTTGAATGGTAGGTCCCACCATCAGAATGTCATTTAAGGCCACCTGTGAGGACGTCTTGGACGAAGCATCGA